AACCTAGGCTTGGAAGGGAGGGCAAGGTAATCTTCTCGGGTTCAGGAGCCTTTGACTTGCAGCAGCCACCGCTAGCGCCCTTACCGCCGCAGCAGCCACCATCACCGCCACCTTCTTTGCCAAGCTTGGAGGCCATGAGCCGGCAGAAAAGACCAGACTTGGGATCAGACTGGCACTGCGCGCATGTACCAGGACCATTGGGTCCACAGCCACGCGAGCTATTGCGTGTAGGCGCAGCACGAGACGCTGGGGCTCTGCGGGGCAGCTTGACAGCTCCGTCAGAGGTGATCTCCATGGCCATGCCCATGCTCGAATCGGGTTCAGATGGCGGAGGAGTCTGGGTTTGGGATACAATGGGGGGAAGCACGTCGACAGTTGGTGTCATGACCGGGGTCGCCATGGCAGCGTCAGCACAGACGCAGTATGTACCGTCCTTGCAAAAACCACAATCATCTTTGAAGGAAGAGTCTCCGGACGGGGGCTGCTGCAGCTCCTGATGCTCTGGAACAACAGCAGGTCGCTGGCGTTTGCCGTTCGAAATGCTCCCCGACGGCGACACGGGTCGCTTCAGCTCACCCTGGGAGAAGGCATTGCTCACCGTCGCCAAAGCTTCCGTAACGCAGGCACATGAGTCTGGTGAGCAATTGCCGCAAGTTAGAGCTGGGTTCGAGACATCATCGGTCTCGAGACTCGGAACGATATGCGGTAGGCTATCATGGCGACTGGTGTGTTGTTGAGAGGGATAACCACGCCTGGTGAGGTGCGACGAGTGCGTAGTCAAGTACATGTCGGTCTGCTGTGGTCGTCGTCGTAAGCCTTCGACTTCGGTTTCTGCGCGGATGCGCTCTTTACGCTCCCTCTCCAGCATCGTTTCAAGCAGCACGCATCGCGAGCGGTGGGACTGCACTTCCATTTCCAGTTCCCTGATCTTTGCTTTGGCCTCGTCATTCTCCTTTTCATGTTCCTCCTTTTGTTGCTGCATTAATTCCTCGAGCTCGCCGACACGGGCGGCACGACGCTCGCGAAACGCTCGCTGGGCGGCGCGGTTTTGAGCCTTGCGCTTGGTTGGGGGCGTATCTGTTGCTGGCTTGCGACCAGGCTTCGGCCGAGGTGGTATAACCCATTCACGGGACGTCATCGACACCCGAGGGGCCGTGGCATCCACACCGGGATGAGGGCTGATGACCTGCGACATGGTCAACGCATCGATGGGCGGTAGCGTCAGGCTGTGCGGCAATGGTAGAGTTCTTGCTAACGGATGTGCGTGGGAGCGAGCCGCCGGCAGAGACTGGTGATGCCGATGCCACTCGTGTGAGTCTCGTCCTGGATAGTGTTGGTAGTGGTGATGTTGTGGTGGCTGGTATTGATGCGGGGCGCTGTCGCTGAGCTCGGGCGAAGAAGCTGCAGAGGAGGAGAAAGAAGACGACTGAGACGGGGCAGAGGGACGGGCGGTTCGATCGAGATAAATGGCTACGCGGTCGTGGAGGGGAGGTGTCAAGGAGGAAAAGGCCGCTGGGCCAGAACTCGGAGCCACCATTGTGGGGGTTTCAACGCCGTGATTCGATGTTTGTGCGGCCGCGGTCGGAGTGAGTCGTGGATCCTCCGGCTAGCCGGTACTGTGCGGTACCTTGGGAATAGCAAGAGCGAAACGATGCGATCTAGCACATGGACACAGGGCAAAACCGAACGATGAAAAGTCCAAACGAGTTGATGAGTATGTCAGAATGAAGTTCATCTCGGATTGCAAGCCTACACTGGTGTTGAGTGGCACTATTGCTATGCTGTTTTTGAGCAGATTTGAGCTGGATACTGTCCAGTACCAGCGCCCCGCGACCGTTAACGTTCTCATCCCGTTGTACCCCCAGGAGCCCTAGAAGAGCTCGGGAAAGACATTGTGAAAATGGCTCGCTGAAAGAAGTGTCACAGTGCTATTTTAGCTCTGGGGGCAGTGCGTCTTTTTCTGAGCTTGGTGGGAAGTCCGACCTAAGCCGAGATCACCTGTTTCCCCCCTGGCAGTTTGAAGGGGTGATGCGCCATGTGGGTCTGATCAGATTGATAAGATGTGATTGATAAAAATTCTGCATCTCGGCCTCCCAACCCTAACTCCAGCCAAGCGCAAGCGGTGTATCGTCCTCCACACCACAACCTTATCAATCAGCTGTGTCATACTTGCTGTTTCCCAGGTGAGCCATGGATAGTATCAAGTGAAACTTGCGAAACGCATGACAATGATAATGACACTGCTGAGTGACACGCGAGCAAGGCAAATACATGTACCAATCGATACTACGTATCCGTACATCGTGAATGAATACCATGTCTGCTCTAATTACCCATGATCTTATTACGCCCTTTGCTACGAATCTACCCCGCGCAGAAAGCTTCTGAGACAAACTAGAGACGCTCGTTCGCGCTGGTGGCCCATGGCCAGGTACGCCTTGTCCACCGGGCCTAAGACTTCGTGTCCGATATCGCACTCGCACATAATGATCTGATCAAAATGTTGCAGAAGAAAATGATTGGCTAGAGGATCATCTTGAACCGCGGCTTCAATTGTCCATGTTTCATGCTTGTCGAATGCCCTCGTCCTGGGGGACCCTGCCAGAAAACTCATATGCTAGTACCGGGGTAGCACTGTAAAGGAGCGTATGGCAGGGGCCCGCAACTCGCTGCCAATGCAAGGGACCAGCAACCAAAGCTCGAATCCTTTTCATAAGAATCCACGCACGACCTTGTCTTGACGATGGCGAACCTGGCCGCGCCAATACCCTCGCGGAATGCTTCCTTCAAGCTAGCCCCCTCGAACAACACGTCTACCGCTCCTTCCATAGCATCCTCGGACGAGGACGGCGACACTGACATCCCGCTACCGTTTCCCGAAGCACTCCCGCGATCCGACTTTCTGCGACCAGATTTCGAGCCCGCTGCGTATCTTTCCGCGCTACCGCATCGTCATCAGACGCTAGAAGACCTTCGTGGAGACCTGCGTGAGCGAAGCACGTCTATCAGTGCAGAGCTTCTAGAGCTCGTCAACTCCAACTACACCGCGTTCCTGTCACTGGGCACCGAGCTCAAAGGAGGCGATGATAAGGTGGAGGATGTCAAGATGGCGCTGATGGGATTCCGGAGAGCTGTCGAAGATGTGCGGGGCAAGGTCACGGTCAAACGCGAAGAGACAGCCAAGCTGAGCAACGAACTTGGTGACGTGAGGAGCGCAGTGGAGCAGGGGCGGAAGATGCTGGAACTGTCTGATCGGCTGTCGTCGCTGGAAGAAAGGCTGGCGTTGACAAGTCTTCCGGCGGGAGACAGCGCGTCTGGGTGGGCCGACGACGACGACGACACCAGCGAAGACGACGACGACGACGAAGCAGAGGATGGCTTGGTGGGAAGTTCGCCGACGAAGCTGTCCATCTCAGCGCGAGAATGCCAACATATCTCAGCCCTAATGGATAGCATGGATCGAGAGCAACCCTTCATCATGAAACAAGAGGAGCGACTGGAGAGGTGTCGCAACACCCTGCTGCTCGACTTGGGAACTGCATTAAAAGAGGGAAAGGCCGCAGGCACCAAGGGCCATGGGCGGTTGATGCAATATCTGGCAATATACCGAACGATTGACGCCTCAGGCGAAGCCGTCAAGGTGTTACAAAAGAAGTAAAGGGGGGAATTCCCCAGACATAAACAATCAATGATACCCAACAGAGGACAACCCCCTCTTCTAATGCTTGATGCTATTGTGACAGAAATGGTACATTATACAAGCTGAGCGAAGCCTCCCAAGTTAGTAGCTTAGCTTTACATGGGCCCGGACAGCTGCTGCGGCGTGATCTCCTCCGTCAAGTTCCTGAACTTGCCGTTCAAGCTGATGCCCGGCCCGTTGGTCGTGCTCAGAATGACCTCGTGCACCTCCTTGGGGTTCTCCTCGGAGATCTCCGCGCACTGCGCCCTGAGCTTCTTCATGACCGCCTCAATATTGGCCTTGAGCTGCTCGGGCGAGTGTGCCAGTTGGCCAATCGCCATCCGGACAGCACCCTCACGCTCCCTGTAGTCCGAGGATCCGGCGCTGTCGCGAATGGCCTTGGCAACGTCCTTGACGACGGTCTTCATCCGGGCGCTGGGCATCAGCCCCTTGGGCCCCAGGATCTTGCCCAGCTGCGCCTTCTGCAGCTTCTTCTCGCTCAGCTCGTGGCAGATGAGGCGGTCGAACGCAATGTTGCCGTCGCGGATCGCCTGGAAAAGAGTCTCCTCGCCGACGAGCTTGGCGCCGGCCGCGACGGCGGCGTTGGCAATGTCGCTGCCCTCGGGGCAGATGACGGCAATCTGCCAGTCGCTCTGCACCGGGTTCGGGAGGCGGATCGAGGATTTGATGACGGGACCGTTGCGGGCCGTCTTGAGGTGGATGTGCATCTCGTATTTGACCGCGCCAGGAGGCTTGCCTACCTCATAGGCGCGGAGGATCCTGTCATACCCATTAGTACTCCTGTTACCCATGACTTCTTGTCTGCCTCCAGGGTTCGCCCACGTACCTCAATGCCTCGCATAGCGTGAATTGAGGAAAGTCTGCCTTGTCGAGTTTGTGCCTCTTGAAGTCCTTTGACAGCGGTTTCGACTTTTTCACCTGCTTCTTGCGCCCGATTTTGACGACGGACGCGTGACGGGTCTGCACGAGTGACGGTGCCAGAAATCGGGGGATGGTCGAGGATATCGATGGTCGAACCGTCGGCGCCAAAGACAACTTGGCCACGGAGGCCATGCACCGGTCGATCGGAGCCATGGTGGGATGGCAGGCGAGGTTGTGTTGTGGCAGACGTAGCGCTGTCGCTTTGAAGTTCGAGACAGGGCGCAAATTGCAAGCGTGCCTGGGATTCGAGGCGTGCAGGGGGAAATCTCTTATCGATAAGAGCTACGACAACCATCTTCACCTCGCGCGAACGAGGACAAGTGAACGAGGCGCTTTACGTATAGAAAGCACTCATATTGTATTCATATCTCATTCACATCTACAAAGTGCGACTGTCTGCTGTCAGCAACTCGATCATGGGACCAGTCACCTCCTTATCCAGCCCCAGGCTCGTCAGCTCAGCGACCTTGACAGCAGCCGAGTGAGAACCGTTGCAGACATCAAAGATCCTGTCCTTGGCCGCAAAGTCGGTCTGGTACCCCATGACCAGCTCCTCGATTCGCTTGGAGTGATCCACGATGCCCATCTGCGGGTTCGGGCCAATCGTCACCGACACCGTCGCGTCGCCCCCGGCCGAGTTGGGCACCTGGACAATCAGTGACGGCACGCTGGACGTGTCAACGCTGGACTCGGCATCCTCCACCTTGGCACCCCCCCTCTCCACGACGATAGACTCAGGGACCACCCGCATGCCCAGGAAGCGGAAGGTCCAGCTCTTGTCGGAGCTCGTGACGTCGACACGGCCCGCGTCTTGATTGTACTCAACGAGAGTGCGGCGAGACCGCTGTGGCTGCTCCAGCTTCACATCCAAGTTGTCATCGGCCGGGTCTTCATAGAGATGGAAGAAGCCATCTTGGCCGACCACGACGATGACCTCCAGCACGGACGGATTGCGGCAGCCGTTCTCGGGCGACTGCTCCGCATCCAGAGCGAGGACGGATCCCTCAGCAGCTAGCACGGGGATGCTGTCCAGGGGACGATACATCCTGATCTGCCTGTCACCGTCGTATACCAGCCCCTTGAAGATGTCCACATAGCGCCCGGGAGGCACCCAAACGTCAACGCCAGCCTGCTTTGTTGTCTTGTTTCGAGGATGCACGATGGGCGCAACGAGAAGCTCTGAGCCAAAAAAGTACTCATTCGGCTTTTGATAGGCTTCCTCGCGAGATGGATACCCCCAATACAGAGGCTGGACCAGAGGCTCGTCATTGGCCGCCGCGTTCTTGTTCATGCTGTGCAGATACGGCACCAGTCGATGACGGAAGCGCATGACTTCGCACATGACCTTGTCGTGCTCCGCTTGGTAGTTCCATGGCTCCTTGGAAGCCCAGCGATTCTGTGTGCTGTGCAGCCTCATGAGAGGCGAGAACACACCGAGCTGCACCCACCGCGTCTCGAGCTCGTCATCGCGGTAGCCGCCCATGTGACCGCCAATGTCGTGGCTCCACCAGCCGTAGCCAATGTTGGACGCCGTGGCCGTGAACTCGGGCTGGAACTGGAGTGACTCCCACGTGACGATGGAGTCCCCCGAGAAGCCTACCGGGTACCGATGGCTGCCGGGTCCGCCGTAGCGTGAGAATATGATGGGGCGGGTATCCGGGCGGGCGTACTTGTTGTCCAAGAAGTGGAAGTGGTTGAGCAGCCACAAGGGGTCGAGGCCTGGGATGCGCGAGTACGGGCCCTGTTGCCAGTCGATCCACCAAAAGTCGCAGCCCTGCTCTTCGATCCGCCTGTGCAGCACGTTCAGATAGGCGTCCATAAACTTTTCGGACGCGGGGTCGAAGAGGACAGGCGCCTTGTCGGACGTGTCGTGGCCCACGGCTGCCGCGAACTCCTCGTACAAGTCTTCGTGGGAGTGGACACCGGCATGGGGATGGTCGTTGAGGGTGATTCTCAGCCGTCTCCTGTGCAGAGCCTCGCAAAAGCCCTCGGGGTCTGGAAAGAGGTCCCTGTTCCAGGAATAGCCTGTCCATCCAGCGTGAGGCACATGGTCGCCGGCGACCTGGTGCCAGTCCATGTCGAGGACTGCGACGGACAAGGGCACGTTATGCGCGCCAAAGTCGTCCATTAGCGCGATATACTCCTGTGCTGTGTATGCATAGTATCGACTCCACCAGTTGCCCAAGGCCCATCGCGGCAACAGAGGCTGGTGCCCGGAGATGGCATAGAATGACTTCATGGCGCCTCTGTAGTCGTGGTCGTAGACAAAGAGGTAGCCGTCCACTCGGTCGCCTTCTTTGCGAGGGCCGGCGAAGCCGTTCTTCTCAAACAGCATTGACTCGCTGTCGTCAATGGCGCAGTGGCCGTCCCTCGAGAGGATGCCCTTCCCCATGTCGCAGCGTCCATTGACGCCATCGAGCGTCCTCGCGGTGCCGCCCAGATTCTTGTCCGTCTCTTCGCCAAAGCGCCAGTCTGCGCCCCAGAGCGTCGTCTTGCCATTGAAGCTGACGGTCAAGCCGTGAGTGCTGAAGCGCTTCTTGTCATAGCTCAGGTGATATTTACTTGTGATGATCTCCAGCCGGCCATCCTTGTCGACGACTCTGTGCTCTGGCGTGGGTGTGAATCGTCGATTGATGGCAAATGCCGAGGGTCGATCCTCGAAGGCACCATCATGGGCCCATTCGTACCGAAGCACAGACTCGTTGATGAGCGTGAACCGATACGTCTCGCCCTTGACGATAGCTGCGTCTTCAGCGATGGGATCCGTCGGGAAATTATACTTTTCCATTGTATCGACGCTCAGGGTCTTTTATGTGTGGTGTATCGAACTCAGTATCAATCGGTTGGGCTTCCCAATTTATGTGCAGGCCAATATGGTGGCGTCACCTTTAGCAAGACGTCCTCGAGGCACAATTACTTGTACGTACATTCCACGCCCGTTTCCCTGCTACAACAATGGCTGGCCGGCGTTCGTGCAGGTTTCACGGGGCACTAATCAATTAGCTGCTTAAGTCGGTCCGGTACGGTACGACTGAGGGGCTTCGCCGCCCACCCGCGTCCACTCCACAGTCCAGAGAGCATCCAAGTAGCAACACGAACACTCGAGTTACTCCAGCCCGGCCACCTGGAAGTTGTAGAAGCAGTGCTCGCTGCCATCAGTCACTTGCTTCGCGCTCTTGGCGACCTTGACGACCGTGTTCCCCCTGACGACCTCGATCTTCTGCGCGCCCTGGCGGACGCCAGCAGAAGCGGCGTAGTTGAGACCAGGCGACAGCTTGGTCTCCGAGATGATCTGGCCGCCGCTCGAGACCCTGACCTTGAAGTCGGTTACACCCTGATCCACGACAAGAGCCCAGTTGACTGCGTCGACGGCCGACTTCCAGTTGGCGGGCTTGTTTCCGTTGCAGCTGCCCGAGCTGAGGAACGTGCGGTACCACATGGCGCCAATCACCTCGTCGTCGCTCTGCGGGCGCATGCCGTCAGGTCCATGGCCATGCTTGTAGGCGTTTCCAAAGGACGCGATGAGCGGCTGCCAACCAAAGTGTGGCCAGTCCTCATTGTTGGCGTACTTCTTGATATCCTCGTTGACTTGGCTCTCGGACCAGATGTTGCCAATGTAGTGGCTCTCGCCAGCATCGTTCTCGTCATCGTCAGACCAAGCACATGAGATCAGTGGTCCATGAAGATAAAACTCACCCAGGTGATGAACTCGACAAAGTCGGGGCTCAGAGTCAGCAGCTGAGCCATGCGCTGAGGCAGGTTGACCTCGCCAATACGGTAGTTTTTCTGACCGCAGCAATCCTTGAACTGGAGAGGCGACAGGGCTGTCAAGATTGTCAGTACCGGTTCCAACGCCAGACATGTTGATACGTACGGGCCATGTACGTCTTTCCTTGGCTGTGCGCAGCGTTCAGGACCTCGGTATCGAAGCCGCTGGACACGTTCTCCGGCTGGTTGCCACCCCATGGCCAGGCCGTTTCCCAGCCAAAGACGCCATCGACGGTGTTACCCCAGTCGCCTTGGAACCATGATCCGGGGTTGCTGTATCCAGGTGCATTGTCTGCGTTGGGCAGCAGGTACATCTGGTCACCGAGACTCTCCCACTTCCATTTCCTGAACCTCGCTGGGTCGTGTTCGCCGACGCTGAAGGAGCTCACCACCGGGTAATTGTCGTCGCCGGCGCGGAGGTAGGATGGACGCCCGACATAGTCTTGCAGCAGTTTGTTGTAGGCGTCAATGTTGGACTCCTGGTAAAAGTCCACGCTGAAGAAGAGCTTGAAGTCTGTATTGTCGGCATAGTCGAAGAGCTGCTTGATGGCGCCTGTGGCCCAGTCCGCGTCGGGGGCCCCAATATTCAGCGCGAAGGCATCGAATCCTAGAGCAGAGGCGTCGTCAATGTCGCGCGCGGCATGGTCAGTGCCTTCAATAATGCCACCAACCTGCCCTCTGTTAACCGTCACATTCGACCAGCGTATTGCAGCAACGCTCTCTTACCATGTAGTGGGCATAGAAACCGCGGGCATTGGCCGACGAAACATGGAGTGCGCTGGCCAGCAGCGCCGCGACAGAACGGAATGAAAACATCTTTGTTTTGAACAAGACGGTTGGTTGAATGAGTGAATGAAAAATAAAATAACCTGTGGTGCTGCACACCTCCAACACTCAGAGTACCGTGGAAGCTGTGGGCTTATATGCGCTTGGAACATGACTCCCTCGTAGCGAACCGGCGAACGAAACGCTCTGCATTCTGCTGGTCCTGACAAGCACGATCCAATCTCTTGGTACGCGCTATGATCACAGAGCATAGATCAGACCCAGGATGAGGCCATCTGCTTGAAGATGTCATTTCTCATACGCCACATCGTATAGACTCTCAATTCCCCGGGCCGATTCGAATCTTCCTAAACAGGATCGACAGGGGCTTCTCATGAAACACACGATCCTCTGGAGGCCGCTCGGGGCCGATGTGCGCCTTGATACCCGTGCACTAGGCGCTATCAGGAAAACCAGAATCCTAAATTGGTGGAAATTTGAGGCCCTGTTTGACTTGGCGACATTTGGTGGGCGAAACGTCAAACAAATGAATTCGTGGGGCGCTATGTCTGCTAGTACCAGGTTAGTAGATTCGCTTTTAGAAGTTGGAAGAGATTCAGACTTCTAAGCGAGTTCCGGTCCAACTTCCAATGTCGCTGGATTGCCTTAGGATCGCGTTAACTGCAATGGCTTCACCGTGAATTACAAGAGTGCCGCTATCAAACATGAACCATGGTAACATATGTGCTGACAGGTCGCGAATATGGTTCCAGTCGGTCATCAGCAGCTTTGATCAAAGAAAGGTGGACGCGAGTCATACGACAACGCTGTAAAATCAATGAATCAAACGCTAAATCATCACGAGGACGACAACGTGGCGTGGCAAAGTGTAATCCAGCCTGCAGAAGCTCCACGTCTGCGTGAGAGTCCCGTCTTCATGATCACAGTCATCATTCCTTGCGTGTGCCTATGCCATTTTCTTCCATCCTGTCAAGCTGGCGAGGTCTTTGCACCGTCAAGGCAATGAGAAAGGGTAGTTGCGCGCCACTGCAGAGTCTGTAGATACATCTCCGTCAGCCTCGAGACTCGACAAACTCAACATGACACGAACAAACTAAGAAACACAAATGCCAATGCAGTCCGTTCGCTCTTGTGGTCAGTGGCAGGATATCCCGAGGCAGAGTACCAGCACGCGATTGTAGCGAACACCGTGCTGGCTGTCGTTGCAATCGCGTACACTATGGTTTTCCTTGATACGTGGCATAAGTGTCGCCAAACCTCCATAGAACGGCAATGATCGCCAGAAGGAGGTTCTATTCCTGTCAGTCGGAGGACGCGGTGCTGTCCTATCCATTCAGGGTCACCTACAATCACCATTAATTCGACGAGCACCCATCTCTGAGCGAGAGCGACTTCAAGCTGTATCAGGAAGGAACAAGAAAAACCAAACGCAGTAAGAGCCATAGCGCAGGGGAGAATCGGGAGAACCTGAATGATCCAAGTCGTGGGGATAGTGGATCGACGGTAGGCCTGAGCCCAGGGGTCGTAAACTCGATGCACGACTGCCGTGGGTGCTAATAAATCCATGGCCATGGTTGAAAAGCGCGGTAAGTCGGGATTGAGTGGCCGTATAGGGGCGGTGGTAGACTGTTGCGAAATGATTCAGTGGCTGTTTGTCTGAGAAGCTGTTTCGTGAGATGACGGGGTAAGGTAATGAGTCGGTCTTCTTAGTCCTCGATGAGCAAAGGATGACATTCAGATGCCCAGTTCCAGTCATTCAACAACTTGGCCGTTCCTGCCAAAAAGTGCGATTGTCTCTTGAAGTAAAGAGTGATGCCGGACACTCGCTCCATGTCAGGTGGCCTTCGCGCCTTCCCCAGTAATGTGCCTACCTACACAAACAGGTAATGCCAGATTGGTGCATCGTCTTGATGATACACTCCCTCTCCAGTCTCCAGTCGCTTTCAGTGAACGCGGATTTGTTTCCGAATCTGCGCCGCAGCATCTGAAGTACCACTCCGGGCTGAAGCGTGTCCTCCTGTGGTGTCTACTGGGGGGCGACAACAATGGCAGCAGCAGCATCGGACTAGCAATGGTCAAGTAGGCTCCTCTTCTTGAGGCGCCTCATGCCTGGAAGTTGTGCTGTCTATAACCACAGTCTATAGAGCGGACTCTGAGATACCGCCAAGTGTGTTGGGGCGATCTTGTCGGAGCCACAAGAGCAACTGGCCAGGTGCTGACAGACAAAGGGTCTCGAGTCGGGTCAAGAGCGTCCTCCTTATCCGATCTTCCGTATAGCAATCATGTATCTTGTCGCCTGTCGTCTCTTTCTGCTCTTCTACAGTTGACAGAGCCCTGGCGCGCAACACTCGGTCAAGTGCGAGGGAATAGGCTAGGCCTAAGGTTCGTCCGCCCATGACCGTCGCAGGGCTATGGGCTATCATGGTTGTTCTCACTGAATGATACAGCCTTGCCGGCCAGAAAAATCTCAATCAGATTGTCAAAGTTGTCTAGTCCCCCTCATGGGCATGGCTTGGGCAGAAACTTGAAGACCCCTCCCGAGTCCCGAACCCGGCTGGTTCCCCACAAAGATGTCAAAATGCTTCGCCGAACAACCTTCAAAGCCACGCATTTTAACAAAACAACATTATTCTCCAGTATCAGTTTATCCACCAACATGCAGCTGAAAACCACACAGATGATTGTGCTGCCGCCGTCGGCGGACATGCACGTCCACCTGCGTCAGGGTGAGATGATGAAGCTCGTCACCCCGACAATCAGGCGTGGACGTGTTGACACCGTCTTCGTCATGGTCCGTTCTCCGTACTCGAGCTCGTCACTAGGGATTCTCACATTGATCCAATGGAACGCAGCCCAACTTGCAGCCTCCCATCAGAACGGTTAAGCGGGCTCTGGAGTACAAATCCGAGCTCCAGGCCATCGAGCCCAACGTGAACTACCTCATGTCCCTCTATGTGAGCCATCGCAACCGGCACAAACCCATGGAAGAAGTCTGACAATGATGAGTTTCATGCAGACCTTACCCCAGACATCGTTGCCGAAGCAGCCAATGCTGGCATTGCAGGCATCAAGGTCTACCCACAGGGTTCGCCAGATCACCCCTTCTTCATCAGCGGCCGTGCTAGGATCTGACATGCAAAAGGCGTCACGACCAAGTCGGACGCGGGCGTCGTCGCCCTCGACGGGTTCGATGCTGTTTTCGAGGCTATGCAAGAGCATGATCTAGTCCTCAACCTCCACGGCGAGGTTGTAGGCACGCCCGCTGACGGGCTCACGCACGAGGAGGCCTTCCTGCCCACCCTCAAGTCTATCCACAACAAATTTCCTAGACTCCAGAATTGTGCTCGAGCACTGCTCGACCGCCGCTGCTGCTGAAGCTGTCAGGAGCTGTGGCCCTTCTGTTGGAGGTACGGCGTGTGGAATGAAAACACCGGCTCTGTGACTAACATGAAACTCCCCGTAGCAACGATTACGGCCCACCACCTGTACCTCACAGGTGAAATGAGCAACGTCGACCCTCATGCCTTCTGCAAGCCTAACCCCAAGACGCCTCAGGATAGGGACGCCCTCCCCAAGGCAGCACAACGAGTGGCGACAGCAAGTTCTTCTTGTAGGTTCAAGTTGGGCCGTGAACTTTCTAGGCCAAGCAGTCACTGACATCGGCATCAGCGGGACCGATAGCGCGCCTCGTCCTCTCGCCGCCAAGGGTGCCCCAGGCAAGGCGCCGCCTGCCGGGGTCTTCACGCAACTCTACGCCACGCAGCTCGTAGTACGGGCCTTTGAGGATGCTACGGAAAGGGGCATCATCACCGAATCGGACGTGACTCAGGAGAAGCTTGAAGGGTTCTTCAGCAAGATCGGCCGCGCGTTTTATAAGCTCGCCGACAACAGTGGGTCTAAAATAGTCCGGGAAAGAAAGGGAGAGACAATTCCTACGAGCGTTCAGGGTGAGGGTCTGGAAGTGGGCATCTCGAGGTCCGGAGATGAAGTGTTCTCGCTGGGCTGGCATGACTAATTATCTTGGTACGTAATAATGGATGGCGTTTTTTCGGAGAGATCCAACCGCCGTAGCGCCACACGTGCGCCGATGAGTCGATCATAGGGCGGCTTATTATCACACTTGATTTTTTCAACGACGGATGCGACAATTGCGACGCGGGTCCTGGCGAAGCTTATCGTGCCTTATCGACAGTTCCGTCACTGACGACGTGTGATTGGTTCGTTTGTCAGGGCCCATTGTATCCACTCAATTTTGCCATCTGCCTACTCCATGTATAAGTGCTCGCCAAAGCTCATTCACAGAGTTCATCCACTCCCAGCCTGGAACAAACAGACCAATCTTTCTCTCATCCGACGACCAAAGATGTCGACGGACTTCAAGACCTCCGACACCCTCGGCCAACAGCCAACGCCTCCCATCCAGGCCATTCCCGATAGCGAGAAGCAGGAGACTCAACCACGAGAACCAGCAACGCCTGACGCTGAGGGCCAGAATGTACCAACATTCAAGGCACTGGGCTGGCTCGACCGCTTTCTCGCCCTGTGGATCTTCCTCGCCATGGCCATAGGGATCCTCATCGGCAACTTTGCACCCAACGCCACTTCGAACCTCGAGAAGGGCAAGTTTGTCGGTGTATCAGTGCCCATAGGTTCGTTCTACACCAAACAGTGCCCAACATGACAACACTGCTGACAACGGATGGCTAGCCATTGGACTTTTGGTCATGATGTACCCCATCCTTTGCAAGGTCCGGTACGAAATCCTACACCACATCTTCAGCGAGAGGAGGGTCTGGGTGCAGTTGCTGTTCAGCGTGGTGATGAACTGGATAGTCGCCCCGTTCTTCATGGTAAGGTTTCTCGGTGAGACACCGCAGGCACAGGTTAGCTGACAAGTACATAGCTCGCCCTTGCGTGGGCTTTCCTCCCCGATGAGCCCAGCCTTCGAACAGGCCTCATCCTCGTCGGTCTCGGTCGATGCATCGCCATGGTGCTGATTTGGAACAAGCTCGCCGGCGGCGACTCAGAGTACTGTGCCATCCTGGTCGCAATGAACTCGATGCTGCAGATGGTGCTGTTTGCGCCACTGTCCATATTCTTCATCAGTATCATCAGCGGCAATGACGACGCCAACATCAGGGGTCTCTCCTACTCAGTTGTCGCCACCAGTGTAGGTGTCTTCCTTGGCATCCCCCTCGCAGCGGCTATCATCACACGCTTCGCTCTGCGCAGCATAGCCGGCAAAGAGTGGTACAACGACGTGTTCCTCAAGTTCCTGTCCCCCTGGTCCCTGATCGGGCTGCTGTACACCATCATCATCCTCTTCGCCTCGCAGGGTCGCGCCGTCGTTCGCCAGATCGTCTCTGTCGTGCGCGTATCGGCGCCCCTGTTTGTGTACTTTGCTGCCATTTTCCTCGTCACGCTGTGGATAAGCAGAAGGTTGGGGTTCGGCTACAAGCTAGGGTGTACCCAGAGCTTCACCGCAGCGAGCAACAACTTTGAGCTAGCGATTGCAGTCGCCGTCGCCACGTTTGGTAGCGACAGCGAGGAAGCGCTGGCTGCAACGGTTGGCCCCTTGATTGAGGTACCCGTGCTCATTGGGTTGGTGTACCTGGTGAGATGGCTGGGCAAGAGGTGGCAGTGGAAGCCGTAATCTGGTTCTCGAGTAGTCGACATTTCAGCTGTCACGTTGGTCTAGAAATTGAAACAAACTCGTGTTCCTGACCGTGCAGTCCTCTTCAGTGCCGCATCCGAGGTAGGCCTTTGTGAGATACTTGTCGCCATGGCCGTGCATCTCAGCTATAATGTTGGCCGCAGACTCGCATGACATGGTTGTCGACGGTTGTAGCTGCATGTCGCTCATCTGTGGGGACGAGGTCGCCGTACCAATCTGCGTCATCATTGGCGATGCTGCTGTGCTCGAAGCATGCGTGTCGACCGTGGTTGGCATTGTGCAGGTCGTCAGGCCGCCGCAGCACGCACTCGCATCAGCCAGCACTTCAAGCTTTCCAAGGTCTGGTCCTTCGGAGCGCTGCACCGAATGCTCAAGATTCTCAGGCCGATCCCATTGCACAGAGCTTTGCACGTGGTGGCTCTCGCTCCGGGTCGCCGGAATGGTGGGTTCATGGCCGTCAAAACTCTTCAAGAAAGCTTTAAGCTCTTCCTTTTCGACGCCTTTCCGCTCCAGTAGTATCCTCAGCCTCTCATTCTCCGTCACAACAGCTCTGGCAGCCGTCTGCATTTCGAGCGTCGCCCGTGCCCCATGCTTTTCATACTCGGCCACCCGACGCTCAAGGTCCTTGACGTAGTCCTTGTGCCGCTCCCTTGCGCGGCGTTGATTGTCCCTGACGCGAATAGCGGACGACTTTGCAGTGTCTAAGTTCGTTGGCATGATTGTGTACTCTGGCCGAAATGGGGGGTTCAATGATTAATTAGGTCGTTGTCACGGCATCGAGTCTTCGCCAACGGCGCCTCAATTACCCTTCCGTTCCTATTAGTCATCAGGGATTAGTCCCCATCGTCAACCAGTGTAAGCTCGCGTTGGCTGGCTCTGGTTATATTTTAGCAGTCGGTACTTGGCGCCTAAATAGTATGGGAAAAGAAATGTGAAATTCAACCCGCGCTGATGAACTCTTAACGCCTCGCCATGCTGTATCTGTGTGAAGGTGGTTATCTGAACATGCGTTTCCCGGTCCGGGTACTAAAGCGCTCCGTTCCACTGTTCTGCTGTGCATGCCACAGCTGTTGCACGCCTACCCCTCCACTCTCTCCAGACAGTCTGTATCTTCTCCATGCCTCGCGCAGATGCTCTGGGCGCAATGGTGCACGTCTGAGGTCGAGCTCTTCGTTCGTCTCCTCGGGGAACGCAGTGAGGGACGGCGGCCGCGGCGCCTCTGATTGCACCTCGCCGGCTGTGATCGTTTCCGCTTGAACTTGACGTGCCAGCTCGACCAGCTCGCCGGCAAAGAGCTTGGTAACGGAGCGAACCGCCATGCTGACTGTTGGAGGGACGGACTGCGAGACTGTCGCATTGACCACCTGCTCTTGTTAGCCACTCTACCTAGTCTGGTGGGGAATTGCGACAGAGCATACCCGCTTCACTACTGAATCTTGAAGCTTACTAGCACGCCAATTTTCATATCGTGCCATCTGCTCCTTGTCCATACTCTCCACCAACATCGCCCTCAGTCGTACTTCCTCCTGCTTCTGTTCCTGCGTCCTCGCAACAACGTCCTCCAGCGCCATCTCGGGCTTATCTTCTTCTTCCTCCTCTTCGCCATCTTTCCCAGCGCCGTTGGCCACGGATGTTGGCGCCTTGCTGCCACCCGCTACGCTTCCGTCGCCGGCAACGCTGCCTTCTCGATCGTCGGGCTTCGCACTCTTCGGTTTCCGCCCTCGTTTCTTCTTGCCGTTTGCTTGACTGGTGCTGACTTGACTTCCGCTCACGACGGAGGCCGCATCCACACTAGGGGAGCGTGCGCCAACAGCGGGCGAGGCGACGGCTTCGGGCGGCGGGAAAGAGGTCTGGCGCAGTGGATGAGAAGGCGTGCCGGGTTGTGAGGGCTTGCGACGCTTCGCGGCGTTGTTGGAGATGTCGAGAGTGGACGAGGAGCGTTTCTTGTTCGGAATCTGCGCTGGTGCAGGGTTCGGCGGCGACATGGCCAAGGGCGAGCCTGGGTTCGGCGGTGAGGCCATTGCGATAGTCTGAGGAGCTCAGTAGCAGATAATCTGAATAGCTTTTCGTATGTGTGCCGTTGGCTGCCCGATTGCAAGATGGATAGAGCTGGTGATCAAGCTATGCAGGAGGGACGTGCTGCTGCTGCGGACGCAGTCGCGTTGGAGATGCGCTGGCACGTGACTTGGCTACGCGCACCCCTCCGTCATTGCTTTGAAACCCTTGTTTCTCGCTAAGAAGTACAGCTTGACGCTGGAATTTGTTTGCTCAATTGTCAGTAGTAAGTATCGTTGAGTCTATTTTCTGTGGGAGTTGGGTTTCTAGTTACAGTTCTGAGCGGACAGTGTTCACAGCCTCCGACGGACAGTCACTCTGTTTGATGTAGGTCGGAAGCGTGGTAATCCCTGAGAGTCAACTGAACCATACAGTCATTAACTGAACTCCATTTCACTAGTCCCCGTGGTAATTGCTGCTCATCTAGAATCTGTTCGATTGTGTTGCTTTCCGGCCACATTAGAACGATCTAATCGGATTGTCCTTCAATACTGGCCATAAGCGCACACGGTCAAGGTCTCGGATAGTTCATTCAGATCCACCCAATGAGCGACGGCAAGTAATAAAGCAATCAATCTGTGAAATCATGTGAGTCTGTTTTCACGCGCGCAACACGTGCTGGGGCTAAACGTCAGAGAGGCTTCTGCAATTTGACGTCAGGTTCTGCTTTGCCCGCGATAAGATAGGGCAACCAAAAAAGTCCGCTTCTGGGCATCATCACAGCTAAAGTGAGCATGGTTCATGTTTGGGTCGACAACCAAGTACACATGCGTAGGCGGCTCGAGAAAGCAATCAGATTAATCCTGGCCTTGTTTTTATTTTTATGACAATTCCAGCAGAGAGAAACGAAACTGACGTGCACTGAGCAGTCACCAGTAAGCATTATCGGGACCCATCCGCCGGGCGGGTGGATCCAGAACCCTGAATCGCCTGAGTCCTGCAGCCCAGTCTGCAGAGCCGTTTTTTGTCCCTCAGCGAATAGTTCCCCGCGAGCGGACCAAATCCGACAAAAGCCGCCTCCAACTCCAAACCTTCCGTCCTCTTCTTGTCCCCGTGCCAATTGACTCTGGCTTTCTTTTTTGCCCTTCTGCATCTAGTTACTTCAAAGCCCCCAATTCTATCCAAGGAGTCGTGACCATGCCCGACTCGGTTCCCCACAGGAAACGCTCACCTAGCACGAGCTCCAGTGACGCCTCGTCCAAGCGACGCAAATCCTCAAAACGCTCGGCCTCAAGCAAGCGCAAGAACAATGAACAAGCCATTCAAGATGATGACGATCTGCCCAACGGAGAGCACCCAATTAGCGGTTTTGATCGCCGGCGTGAAAGCACAACGCGCACGGCCCGCGATCCTAGGGACGAGTTCCACCCGCCCAAGAAGAGAAAGGTTCCCAAAGCCGCGCGCAAAGAGGCCGAGGCCCCCGTCAACGGCACAGTGGTGACGAGGTCGCCCACGCCTGTCATTGATTTTGACGGTCTCAGCCGCCCCAGTAAGATCACCACAAATTCGTCTCTGCGATACCATGAACTGACAGTGACAACCAGGCGCCGGCACCCGAGAGCGTCTCGAGGAATCCCCAGAGCAAGCCGTCGTCCGCCTCGGCCGCATGCGCGGTGCCGTGCGCACCCTTCTCGAATGCGTAGGCGAGGACCCCGACCGCGAAGGCATCCTCGACACCCCCGAGCGCTACGCCAAGGCCATGCTCTTCTTCACCAAGGGATACCAGGAGAATGTCCAGGACATTGTCAACAACGCTCTCTTCAACGAGGGCCACAACGAAATGGTCATCGTGAAGGATATAGAGCTCCACTCGCTGTGCGAGCACCACCTGGTGCCCTTCTTCGGCAAGATGCACATTGGGTACATCCCCTCCAAGACGGTCATCGGGCTCTCCAAACTGCCCCGGATAGCAGAGATGTTCGCCCGCCGCCTGCAAGTCCAGGAGCGCCTGACCAAGGAAGTCGCCAATGCGATTATGGAGATCTGTCGGCCCCAGGGCGTTGCCGTCGTCATGGAAGCGTCCCATCAATGCATGGTCATGCGAGGTGTCGAGAAGACCGGCACGTCGACCATCACCTCCTGCGTGCTGGGCGCCTTTGAGAAGAAGAGCAAGACAAGAAACGAGTTCCTGAGCCTGATCGGCGTGAGCGGTGGTAGACGACTATGAGCGGTGACTATCTAACACGGTCTTACATTTTCACGGCGTTCTTGGATTGGCCTGGCACGTACTGCACCGCATCTTTTTCAACATGCGGTAGGGCTCTTCAACATATGGGTTCTGGGCGGATGACTTTTAACATTATATCTAAGCGGTCTTGTCATATCATAGATGCATTGCCTCTGGGCTCAACATACCAAAGAGGTACGGCAGCTTTGTCGAATACATTTATTTCACATAACTACTCATTGTAGAGAGGGAGAAAAAAGGCCGCGCATTTGCCTGGCTATATATCAGAACACCGTACTCATACACATGGTCCTTGCCAACATGCCCAAACGCCCCAGATTCGTCTGTTTCTCTGACCAGTTGCGCCGCCTAGTGTGCTCCCATATGCCCATAAATATTCTAGCAACGCCCGCCCAAGTCCTAATCCATATCTAACATAGCGTCAAGCCCGTTGCGCTCCTTTTCCAGCGACTCGGCTGTCACATTATGGCTGTCCGCAACAGTGTCTCGCTTCTTTTGCTGGTCGTCGTCGTCATCCTGGTTCGTCATCTCCTTAAACATTTGATCGACGTTCCCGTCATCGTGCTTCATCATCGGATCGATATCGCCGGGTGTCATCGATCGGCCTTGGTCGCTGATAGATCGATGCGGTGTCCCCCACACATCAGAACCCCAGATGCGCTCGGCTTCTCGCCTCCCCTCATCGGTCCGACTGAGGATCTCGAGAGCCTTACTCTTCCCCTCTTCGGTCTGCAGCTCAACATCGTCGACCTCGCCTTGTAGCAATCGCTCTTCCAGGGATTTCGGCGTGTCAGCAACATGCAGATGAGGACCTCCAGCGCCAAGGAGTGCAGGGTGTACCCCACCATCGATGTCCATCGGGTCGCCTGGGTGGAAAATACTTGTCTCGGCCTGTGATGTCGACGGATTTGAAGGGGCAGGGATACCAGACACACTCGGATGCGAGGTATGAGGGAAGAATCCAGAACCCCCAGGTGGATGCTGACCCTGTCCTGTTGGCGCAGAACCACCTGACTGGCTGGCGGCCGCGGCCGCGGCAGCCTCAGCGTTGGCGGCTTTGCGACGTAGGCTGTTAGCCTTGCCTTTGGCATGTTCAGGCAGATCATCTGGATTATCAACCCCGTACTCGGCCAACATCTTCTGCAGTTTGGTAGGTCGAGGCTTCCGGGTGGAGAGCGAGACTTCGAGTATCGGAGGGGCCTCCGGAGCCACTGGGCACCATTTGTGCAGCTCTTGGCGAAACAGGTTTGTCTCGTACGATAGAAGAACTTCTGCGCCCTCGATTTTCCGCAGGTAGAATCTCTGTATCTCGACCTCGGCCTCAGTGGACAGCATTGGATTGCAGTGACGCGCAATATGGTCCCTGAAATGCTGTGCGTTATCAATGATCTGACGTAGAATTTCCTCTTCTTCGGGTTGGAAGGGCAAGCCGGCGATCTCGTCCACCAACGCATGTAAATCTTCCAACTTCGGCCTCGAGGCATCTCGGGGAATCTTCATGCGCCAGTCGCAAATAGGACACGTGTATTTGTCATCCTCCTTGACTTTACCACGCGCAATCTTGAGACACTTGTAGTGGTACCTATAAAGTGTTAGCGCACAGCACCAGGTGGTCGATGCGACACAGACTTACCATTCGTGGCACAACTCACACTCAATCATCATGCCAGCCTCGGGTCTGCGACATATGCAGAAAACCTGTCTTGAGCGGCTGGGGCCGCCATCTGGGCTCGCCTCGCGAGACACGGGTTCCCCGGGATTCCGGGGCGTATCGTAGTAGAGGTCGAAGCAATCCTTGTTGCGCTCCAAGACGTACTCCAGGTGGCTCTTCAGGATGTGTAGTGGGGCATTCGACTTGCCGAACAACTTCTTGCCCTTGCGCATCCAGTCCTCGTGTCGTTTGCGCTCATTCTCTATCTCTATTGTGCCATTGGGCTTCGCCGCAAGCTCCTCGAATTCTTTTATCATCTCAATGACTTCAGAGTACTTCGGTCTCTCGGCGGGGTTTTCCCTCTTCGACCGCTCGAGAGTGTCCAAGGCTTGTCGATGGGCCTCCCGCTGCTTGGACAGGATACGGTCGATAGCGCGCAATGTCTCGGCCGACACGGGGAGAGCATTGGCCTGGACTTGAGCTGCAAAAGCTTCCAGCTGTGGAAAGTGGATGAACTCTGCTGAGATGAGCTCGAGAGCCTTACTCTCCCAAGCCTGCCCAGCTCGCAACTGCTCGCGCCAGTATTGCAAATGGTCGTTGTACGCAGGCACCTCCAACCGCTCGCCTTCCGAGATAAGGTCGTGCACTTCTTGTAAGCTCATGAGCACCTTGCGACTTGAGGCAGCCCTCTCATCCCATTGAATTTGCTCCAGCACCCGGCTGAGGCGATCCACTTCGGGGATATCCACATTAAAGCTGCGACCTTCCTCCAAGAGTTCTGTGCACGTGTCGATCGAGATGGCATTCTTGTTCGCCAAAGCTTGGCTCGCCTGTTCTTGGTACGCCTTGATAGCGGCCGATCGCTCCTGGAGTTGGCCGATCTCGGGGCAGTCAAAACCAATGTGCTCAGCTTCCATTAACAGCCGGAATATGTTTGACACGCTTCGCGATTCTTTAACGTCCTGGGCCGGAGCACCCGTTGACTTGCGTCTGCTGCCTTGAGAGACCTTTTCGCTTTTTCGGCGGTTTTGCTGCTTCCGCACAAGGTAAGTGGTTGCCTCTTCAACCCAATCATTGCAGCGGTCGACGAACTCTTTGAGGGTAGGAATTGCATCGATATCATATGCAATGCGCTCGCCTTCGTTCAGAAGGGTACGTAGCGACTTTAGAGACGGCCGAGCTTCGTCGTCAAGCAGAGTGTTATACTTCTGCTCCCAGACGTCAGGCACTCGTGCCTTTTCGGCCACTCGTTCAGAGGCTTCACGCAGCGTCGTGTCGGTCTTCCGATAAATCAGGCTGTGGCCATCACCGGTGAACCTCTCGATTTCCGATTGCTCGCAGCACTGGGTCCAGCCGGCATGTAGAATGCAAAGGACCTTGCCTGTCTGGGCACACTTGAACCGCGAGAAGAAGGCGAATGCTTTGCATTGGGCGCAACATTGCTCCTCCTCATCTTGGACATCGTCGTCCGATACTGTCAAGGGCAGGGGGCATTTCTCGGCACTCTCGGTGCTATCGCTGAAGTGTGAGCACTTGTGGGCTGCCGCCTCGGAATGCTTCTTGATGAAGTCCCCTCGTTGTGTTATCTCGCGCTGAACGACGCGATCAAGCGCAGGCGCTAGCCATTTGGCTGTTTGTATTGTCAGTCCCGAGGAGGCGGTACCTTCAGCAGCTGTCCAGAGTAGCTCATCGTGCGAAAAGCACGGCTGTCGGCGAAAGTTTTGAAGTCGTTCAACGCCCGCCAGGCCGTATGGCTCCCAATCACTTGGTGCGAAGTTGACTGCCTCATTAAAGTTGAACCCATGATTAAATCCTGCGTGGTATGCCTGTGGGAAGGTGATGACAAACTGGCCGGCGCGTTGATCGATGGCGTACACATTCACATCCGCCTTCTTCAGTTGTTCGGGTGTCAGCAAAGTAACCAGTTGAAACAGGAGATCCGGCTGCGTCTCGAACAGTTCAGGCACTGTATTCCTCATGGCGGTCTCAAACTTCTCGGCGTCTTCTCCAGGTATCCCATACCAAGTCTTTGTGGCGCCAAAGTGTTGATAGTTGGCCGAATATGCGTAATGGTCCTCATTGTGCCAGCAAAAGGTCGAAAATATCATGCCAACGTATACCCAAGGTACGGTCATGCCTGAAATGTCTGTCTTAATGTGCCGGAACAGACTTTCGGGATGAAATGGCAGAACATTGAGGTTCCAGGTATCAGCGGAGTGGGGGTTTGTTGGATGTTTCTCCAACGTCGGGAAACCAGAGCCGTGAGTCGTACAGTGAATGTCCGCGCCGTACTCAACCTCAGTAGTCTCTTCGAGGTCGGTGACAAGTCGCCAAAACTCTGTCTCGACGTCCTCCTCGGTAACCGGTCGATGACAATTCAGAGCGTGGTCGAAAGGCATCTTGTTCTCGAAGTATCCTTGCTTGAAATCGTTTGCTTTCTGCTGGAATTGGCGAAGCGAATACAGACCTCCCTCTTCGAAGCCAAATTGCCCGTCACCGACAAGGCAACGAGCACAGTTCCATTCAGCGTCAGGTTTTCGCTTCAGAGGGGGGTCCAAACATTGGCTATGATAAGCGCCGTCGCAGGAATCGCACAAGAGCAGCTGAGAGGTGTCATCGCTACGCCCACAATTTCCACACTTCTCGTCGATGTGACCCGCGTCGTCGTCGCGTGGTACTTTTGGCACCGAAGGACGGAATTGTGACATGTATGAGCCTGCAACAGTGGGAGCCACATCCTTTTTCAAGCGCTTGCTACGTCGATTGCAGCTGTCACTGCCGTCGTTCTCGTCCTCTCCAGCCGCTGTTGCGACATCGGGTGCGCCCCCGCCAGTGCCTAATTGACGTTTCAGCAAGGTGGCTGGCGAGTCGAGACCAGAGCTTGCCACGCCTGTTGTGGCTTTGCCGGCTGGCATAGGGCTGCCATTCTGCTTCTCGGGTGTGGCTGCGTGCTGCTCGGCTGTGCTCGGCCGATTGACGCTGGTGAAGCCGGAGTTGACAGCGGTAAAACCACTCGAAGGAGCCCCTAGGACTGGTGCAGGTGGGGCATCAGACATTGGGGTGTCTTGTGATTCTTCTTTTTTGAGTCCATTCAGCCCAGCTTGCAAGGCATCCGTAGCCTGTCGTGCTGGTGAGTCGACCGCCATCCTCATGGGCGTGTCAGCCAAAGATCTTTGAGCGGGTGTGACGGCAGAAGTCGGAGTCAGTGGCCCGCCGTACTCGGCTTCTAGCTGTTGATGTACGCCAGGTTTCGCCAGTCGAAGATAGTCTTCATAAGGGCACAGCCATTTTTGGTACGAGTTTTTCAAGGATGTCGAAAGTGAAGACATTATTTTGCCGCTGTAGCCGAGATCTCGCCCAATCTCAGCCCATTTCTTCAGCTTGCAAACATTTTCAAAGCCGCCTCGCGACTCAACGGCTTTCTTCAGTTTGTAAAGATCGAGTGGCTTCTTGTCCACGTAGGGCAGTCTGTGCAGGTTGGCGTTGCCATGTTGCTTGTGGTATTTTGAAAGGCCATCAAGATAGGTGAGATTTGCTCTGGTGCCTATGGTCTTTAGTGCTGTACATATCATGCTATCATGCTGAGGGGAAAACTCACTTCCTTCCACCGAATTCAGCTCTTGTTTTCTTGTACGAAAATGGAATCTCTGTGCCCAAGTCAGCATAAGCAGCGCTGGCAAGATGTTGTCCACAAACCTCGGTATCTATCGCAAAATCGGGGTTCCAAGAGTCAGGTGGTATGACCTTGCAAATGCCGTATTTCGAAGCTTCGGGGGCAATCTTCTTCATGTATGTCAGAGGGTCGCGCCATTCCTCTTCCGTTGGCGTGTACGATGGTGCTTCTCGTATGCCAAATGGTCTATTCTTCGGCTTCAAAGGCTCGCGGGCAGCATTAGGCTGGCCTCTTCTCTCCACCGAGGTAAGGTCCAGAGGTGGGCTGACGAGAGCGCTCAATGGCTTTTGAGGATTCGTGGGATGGTATCCATTGGCGCTGATCTTATCCTTTGAACGCGTCATGCCGCCCATTCGCGAGGGCGTGTTGCTTGCTGGAGAACTCCTCGCGCTCATCGTGGACGCAACGGCGGCATTGCTAGCAGCTGGTGCTGAAACCATGACGATTCCTGGTGGAGCCTTGTCGCCCTCTGGTGGTAAATACAGGCGAATGGACCAAGGCTATCAAGAAATGAATGTTGTTGAGTCGATCGGCGAGCCGCAGCTCATGCTTTTATGGCAGTCCTATCGTCGCTGCGGTGATCGCATTTCAGCATGGAATTCTGGACGTGGGCGTCGGATATCGTATACGTTTCGAGAGTTGTCTGTGTCTCGCCGATTGTGTCGTCTTATCACTTGCGCTTTCGGGTCGATAGCAAGAGAGACGCGTGTGGCGAGTGGACGATTGGTCGATTATCACCACGCGCGGTTTGATCGAAGAGCACTAACACGAGACCACGAATGGAGTGGTCCGATGCACGGTTAAGTGGCTGGCTCCTTTCCAGTTATGCAAAAGGGAAAGGTTGCGTCGTAAAGGAGTCGAGGTGATGACAGCAAATTTTGAATCGGGACCGCCAGCTTGTCGTTGGACGGAGGAAGCATGGGTGAAAAGAGGGAGAAAATGCAGATGTAGATGTCCCGAGTGAGGGAACGATCGCAGCCTGGATTTGGGGGACAGGAGCGTGCAAGTGGGCGTTCGGCCGGGCCAGAGTGCAAGTGTGGGTGAATTGCGCTTGCCGTTAGAACTTTAGCAACGACGCACAGAAGTAGATATACTTTTTGTTAGGCCTTGTCTTGGTGAGAAATCATGTACCTTCACTTGAGCTGCCCCCCGATCCCAGCGGGAAGCTCGGTGGACGATCCCGGAAACACTGCTTTTTTATTCGCGGGGCGGAATTAAGCCAGGAAAGCCTACCTGAATAATGCAGCCTCGTGGCTCATTTACTTTAGTAATTTTTATTCCCTGCCGACGTCAAGTCGTTCAAATTTCCTGCTCTTCGGGTATGAGGCAACCCTCGCAGATTGTCTCTGATGCAGTGATGTTTGGCGGAGTAAGCCCCCGGCGCTCCTGCAAGCCTTAGGGATCCACTAGCGACGACTCCCGACCGCTTTCAGACCTCATCCGACGTGCCCACCAATTCCAGTCGTCCATTCTCAAGGCACTTGCACTGGATATCAATATGCACATAAGAAAAGGTTTTACTCTCCGATGGGAATCTTTTGTTCCTATTAGGGCGAGAAGACTGTCATGGGCCATAGAGTCTCTGGTACGACGGAGTTGTGCTCGAATGTGCTTGAGGGCCTTCACAACCCTCACATGCGGGGACATAGATTTTGTCGGGGGAGTCGAAAACCTCATTCATGATAGTAGTCGAACAAATCTAATAGTCAAGTTGAAATTGCGAAACCCCTGGACATAACCATCGAGGACGGACATATGTTTGCGACAAACGCATCGATTGCGCCAACTGCAGGGTAGCTAATCTCGCCTCAATGAACTACCAGCATTCATTCAAGTTCATCTACCACAGGTACTGCTCTCTTCCTCCGCTTCTTCGTTTCGAGAAGCTTTTCCACGTCCTTGGGTCCTCTGAGCCTCAAGCTGAGCTCTTTGACCAGATCAACCCATCGTATTTCCCCACCACACGAGGGGCAAGTGCACGAGGATGGCAGGATGTTTCCATCTGCGGCGACCTCCTTGGCATTCCCCCCCCAGCAATCCAGATGGCCCACCGCCTCGCAGTTCTCGTTAGGGCAGATTGGGTACAGTCCCTTACTTGGTGCCAGCGGCTCGCCACAGTGCACACAGTCCCCGTGACGCTCAAAGTTCACCACCTCTTGTGCCTTCGACGCGTGTGGCTTGAGGGCAGCGTAGTCCAAGGGCAAGGCATCCACACCGCGTACCGTGCCATCCTCGGTGGTGCTGTAATCTTCGAAAATCCGAAGTCCGCTTCTGACCTCTTTGTTCGTATGGCGGAGCCAATTGTCCCAAGCATTTTTGGCATCACGTGAGAAGAAGTGTACATTGAGCGGCCAACGTAAGAAGCTCGGCACGCTTGTGAGGATGAAGACGTTGGAGAATATTGATTTCAGGTTGTGAGGTGGCCGGCGAGGCCGGCCATTCCTCTTCTTCTGGGAAGACACAACCACGCGAGATTCATCGGGTATGTGTAGTGACAGGTGCGGATTTGTCAAGGCCCATCTATGCTCATTAATCGACTATCAAACATGTAGCGTGCGCGCAGCCTACTACTCACTCAAACTTCAGCGCCGCGGTGGAACTTGGGAATCCCGAGATAACTGCAATCATTTCCCATGGTCTCAACTTGTCTCGACTCGTGCGGGCAGCGCCACCCTTGGCCTCACCATTGTGTTGCCTCAGACGCCGTGGTGGGTTTGGCGTTGAGCCGATGTAGAGTGATGCATGGCGAACGGTCGAGCGAAGTACATAGACAGTGTACAGAGCAGGTATCGGCTTAGGAAGGACGGAGGTCATCACAGTGCCACCCATGTGAAAACATCGTTGGATGCGGGATGGAGTACGGCGCGGTGGGCTGTTTGTTTGGGCTATGAGTGCAGCACATTTACGATGACTAAGCTCAACACGCGACGCTCACGCACGCCGTTTTGTCCCATAATCCCATCCGCAGCCGTTATTTCACAGAGTTGATGGTAGAAGTGATCCTATTGATAATATTGGGGATCCCAATCCCGGTCGATATACTCCCTCTCAAAAATCTAGAAGCGCCAAACTCCCATGTCTAGACATTTTACAAAAGCCCCTGCTTCTGCAGATCATAGTACACCTTCTCGGGCATCACATTACCCTCCGCATCCTCCATTTGTACAACACTTCCCTCGTCAACCTTTGTTCTCTTCTTCTCACGCTGGATCTTCTCCCAGAGCTTTAAAGCCTCATCGATCCTCGTAATGTCGCGGAAGAGGTTGACGTTCGTGATCCCAAGACACTTCAGACCGTACACGTGGCGAGCCTCATTGAAATGTTTGTCGAATGCGCGGCGACCCATGTAAACGAAGTTACCACAGACTTCGCATGGAAACTCGACACCAAGACCGTGAAGTCGATACAACCAGAAAGGAATCGGCTTGCCATCCCAGGCCAATGGCAGCTTGAGCGGGTTGTAAATTTTCTCCTCACCATCCTCAGCGTCCTCCTCGCCGTCCCGGGGCTGTTCCTGCTGTTCCTCCGACGCGTTCAAGAGATTCTCAAGCTCTTGTTGGCGCTCTCGTTCCGTCATGCCCTGTTTTCGCTCCACGTTGACCCTGGTATCACCTCGCTCCGTGCTCATGGCACTGGCCAGACGCTTGACTCGCTGTTCACGCTCAGCCACAGCCTTCTCTTTCAACCTTGCAGCCGAAGTTCTGGGGCCGGCGGTACCGTTGGCGGCCCCGTCCGTATCCGCTGACCTTTGCTTCCGTTGCTCGGCAGCCTTGATATGTTTCCGTCCTGTCAGGTGGTTCTTGTAGACATTTTCGTTCTTGAACTCCTTCTCGCAGTCGGCGCACCACACTGCTTCAGCTGTGCTCAGGTCCTTTGCTGTGTCGCCCCCTGTTGGTTTCTCTGACTGCCAACCTTCAACATCGTCCTTCTCCCACGCCGCTTCGAATTCCTGGCCGAACGTCTCCATGACCTTGTCCACGTTTTCCAAAGGCCGCGTGCGCTGCATGAAGGATTCGAGGTAGCTTGCTAGTTCACCAATATACTTGAAGTACTGATCCGTAAGCTTGTCTGCCTTCTTGACACCACCATAGCCCGGCGTGAAGTTGTCGAACACCTCGAGATATTGCAGATATGTCAGCCGCCTGACATTCGGAAGGTTGAGGAACTGTTCGTGGTTTGTTGTCAAGTCGAAGAATCGCCCGTATGCCTCCTCGCCTGAGAATAATGAATCGACGATTGATGGTACGAGCTCTCCTTCCGCAGCCCGTCGCACTTTGTATCGTTGCTCCGAGTTCTCGGCCTGTTCGTTCGGATACCGCGCATGATGGTCTCGTACGTCTTTGAGCTGCTTGTAGAACTCCCCAAACGAATCGCCTGAGCCGATTTGCTGAATCTCGGAAGCGCGCGCGCCTGTCGTATCTCTGTAGATGTCTAGGAGGTTGCTGGACTGATTTTGAATCTGATCAAGTAGTTGAGAGACCTCGTGGTCGCGATTCAATCGATCGCGGATCTGGTGTTATTAGTATGGATCGATCGCGCCGGCTGCAAGACCGGGATACTCACATGTTTAGGGTCATCATGGATGCGGTCGGCGATTCCTTGCTCTAAGCGCTCGAGATCCTCATGGATGTAACGCTGCTCCTCAAGAATAAGCATTTCTGTTGTCCTGGGAGAGAAAATGCGTCGTACTTGTGAGCTTGAAAAGGGCGTGGCTCAAACTGGTGGAGAGGTTCGCGTCCTTCGAAAAGTTCATGGCGCGCAGGCTTTAATTGCGATCACGTGATCCAGCTTCCCGTCGCATATTGCCCGCAGAATACACGGGCGCTTCATGACATCGAACATCCTCTTGTATTTTTCCGCTTCACAGACGTGATCAGCTCAAACGATCTCCAATGCGCTATTGCAACTGCGTATCGGCTCGATCATTCCACGACCAGCCTCGTCGGCTGGTGACATCAGTATGGTCCTGCACCTCTCTGAATTTGAGATGATGTATCGGCTAGATCACGTCGCGGACCTGGAAAGAGTTTTGATCGAATCACAATTAGGCTTTAGAGCTCGGAATAGGGCCCAAGCTTGAGATTTTTTCCTTGTTTCTAGTCGGTTGCACTTCCCGCGTGGGAGACTGCCCAGCTCCATCGTCACTGTTGTGACTTCTTCTTCCCCCTATAACTATCCCATACTGGCGATGGTCGAGCGGCTCAGTGATTGCAAGGCTGCTTGATCAATTCATGCTTGCCACTACGCATATCTCGCCAAGCATTCGCCCAACAAAACAGGCCAAGGCAAACGTCACTACTCTCCAGCGGCGGATGTGACAGCCAGCCTCTGCAAGACGTTGCAAATAGGCCTTCCAGCTGTCCCAACCCGCTCAAACAAAGCCCATGGTACCCCGCGGGCAACATTTGCTGAATAGCAGCATGGACGGTTGCTCCCCGGTTCTGGCCTTTCCCTCGGACAATGTGGATTTGCCGCTCACGCGTCGACCAGCCACGAGGCGAGGTCATTGCTGTATTCCGGGACTGCTAGTGACAGTTTGAGTCAATAAGCTGCTTTCGCCTAGGCTTTGAATGGCTAACTGGGACCTAGCGAGGAAGCTTTGCGGACGAAAGATCACCATGTCCAACGCAGACGGCTCTGCAATGGTGTTTATTGTGCACGACTCATGTCTCGTAATTCAGCTTCTGTATGTACACGTGCTGTCAAACAACGCTCATCATTACCTCTCTAAACGAAATGCAGATCATCACCCGCTTTCAGGGCAGGTACTCTGGCCAAATCTTGATGTTCTCCATCCCACTGATAATCCTGTCTCCCCCAAGCTCAATTTCGAGACCAATGTCGGGCTGCGCCTCCTCATACAGCCAGTGCTTCTCTCCTGCCATCTTGGCATTCGCCTCCGCAAGCTCATGGCTGATGATCTGCTTCTTGAGCTCCGGGTTGCCACCACAGGCCGCCTCGACCTTGAGCTGAATCTCACAGCTCCTGTCCACGAGGCCGAACAGGAAACTCGCCTCGTCGACGGTGTGGCCGACGGTGACGAGACCGTGGTTCATGAGCAGCGCGGCCTTGCCTTTGGGGCCCAGAGCCTTGGCGATGTTCTGGCCCTCTTGCTCAGCGGTGACGATGCCGCCATACTGATTGTCCACGGCGAGGGTGCCATAGACGTCGCAGATGTCCTGCTGGATCATGTCAAGAGGCTTGCCGAAGGCGCACCATGCGCGACCCGCGATGCTATGGGCGTGGCAGATGGATTTGATGTCGTGGCGGGCCTTGTGAATCTCAGAGTGAATGAAGAAGCCGGGGTTGTTGCAAGGCCGTGTCTGTCAGAGTTGAATCAGTTCATCGGCTGCTGGCAATAGTTGCATCTAGCAAAGCTTACCCTGTTACCGCCGACAATCTTACCAGTGTTGATGTCGAGGCAGATCATGTCACCGGCGTTGAGGAGGGCAAAGTGCTTTCCAATAGGGTTCATCCAGATCAGGTTGTCGTACTCAGGGTCCTTCACGCTGATGTGACCAGAGATGCCCTCTGTGAAGCCGACACGAGCCCAGTTGCGGAAGACGGCAGCCATGTGCAGCGCAATGTGCCTACGGTGCTCGTCATGGTTGTCGAACGTGGGGATTCCTTGACGATGAGCAGACCTCCCCCTGTTTGGTTTCGCAACTCACCTCGTAGAGGGTTGGGCCCACGGCTCAGGTCAGCGAGGGCAGTACCCTCTGGGAAGATGCTTTGATCTTGCTGCGGTTCTGGAGCGTCAGCTCTGAGCTTGAGAGTGGGCTGCTGCTGTTGCTGCTGCTTAATGGTGTTGGTGGAAGTAGCAGAGTGAGCCATTGCGAATTTGATAGAAAAATTCCTTCCTTCCTGTATTACACTGCCGAAGAAGAATGGGAATGGGAATGGGACAGGGTGTGTTCTTGCTCAAGGGGATCAGATGGCATCAGGATATGTCCAATCTCATCCAGGCGAGATGTTTGCTTTGTGTCTTTATTTAATGTCTTTAATAGTCAGTGAAGGAGATAGGGAATAGTGACAGCCTCGGAAACTGAAGTTGATGGATGGCTGGGTGATGATGACAAGGGGAAGAGGCAACCACGGCATAGATGAAGAAGAGGCCTTAAGGCTATTGGACTCCAGGAGAGGAGGATGAAGGACGCTAGATAGACAAATAGATTTCAACACGCGCTGCTAGAGTTGGGCAGTGAATTGGTGAAACAGCACATCTTATTTTGTCAGCACCAGTTCGGCAACCCCTCCAACTGCATTGGCACTTGCCCGCGGCGGCGCGGCGGCGTTCCCGCGGAAGCGTTCCGTGGCAAAATGACCTATGCGTTCAAGGCATTTCTTCAACCAAATTTGATGAAATGAACATAGTGTGTAGCTCGTCCTGAAACATCTTCTCGTCTTCCACTCCACAGCGTCTCCCGCGTCGCGGCCATCCGTGTCGGCTGATCAGTCGGCACCGGCAACGGTGTCATGCTCGATGATGCGAGCTGGTGCTGGCCTCCGTCTCCGAAAGGCCCCGCGCGGCGGGGCGTTTCCAGATGTCAGCTGTAGCTGATCTTCGCTCTGGCGCAATGGGGAATTCTTCTCGAAAGTGGAGAAGATGGGTCGATCTTTGACGCAGTGTGGGTATTTGCGAGTGTTACAGTCTTACTCAGAGCCGGTTGAAGCGTTCTCACGAGTCACCATCCCGACTACCACTGGCTGCAGCCACGCAAGGGAAGCTGGCGGTTCAGAACTTCAGGCCGGATAGAGAAGATCTCTAAAATTTTGCTTGTTAACAAGCATACTATTAACAAACGGCTGTGACGGCCTCCTCCGGCCGGCGGATGAAAGGGAAACTGACTGCGCTGCTGCAGCTCGTTGCCTTGAGCGATCGAAAAATTGTATGCGTCTCTGGGCGACATCTTTCAGTTTGCATCGGTCTACAAAGGCTCACACGAGGCCAAAGCGGCTATAGTCGGCCACAAAAGTATCGTTGCAGAACGCAAGCTTGCAAAAGTTCTCGGGCATTTTACGAGGTGCGTTCTTGACTCTTGCGAGTGGAACTTGAATCTTGACATGGATCATCTGCTAATCTTGACCAGGGCGATGGGTTGAATGAAGCACTGAAGGCGATGAATTCACACCGCATACGTGAGGTTTCTCGCCAGAGATTCGTTGGAACCTAGGCGTGGCAGCATTGCATGGCGATGGGCGTGAGTTTGTATGCCTTTGTGGACTCCGCTTACCTGCGCTCTCTCGACATTCAATGGCTTGATGACCGTCAAGTGCCCGAGTAACTGCATTCCAAAATTCCAACATGGGAAAATTGGGAAAGCTAGAGCATGAACTTCACAGCTACAGTATGAGTAGAGGTGATCATCGCCATCATGGTTCTATAGACCGCCTTCCACTTCATTACCTGAAATTGAAGAATGCTCGCGTGCGACCTGGCACGACTGCTTGTGGACTTGTTGATCGAGTTTGAAGGATCAAGGCGCGAAGGAAGTGGGCTCTAGCTAAGAGATCCAAAAGTAGCCGCAGATGACGCACATCCACCGGCATTTTGGACGCACCATGACTTCGATGCCCCATGGAGACTGGGCCTAGCAGCATGGACATGGCAGCCCACGTGAACCGCACGTCAATGGAAAATTTCCCATGGGTTTTCCAACGATGTAGTCACACTAACTGGCAAAGGAGCACGATGTTGGTCAGCCCAACCAGAGCCGTGTTTCAACTTTCGACAGTCGACACAACCCCACACATCCATCACCAACCGACGCCTCATACAGGCATTAGGGGCGCGTAGCCAGAAATTGGTGGCTAATTTGTTCTTATGACCCTTCTTCTCGACTAAGACACCAGCCGGGAGAATGAGTGGGCTGACATCAGATCACCACCCCGGTACGAGGTTTCGCCCTGGGGCCGCCTACGATCGGCCTATGCATAATCCTGGCTGTAGCATGCTCCATAGCACAATAGCACCGACGTTCAGAAGACTGGACAACATGGCCAATGCGGTGTAGTTGATCGGAAGACGGGCTGCTCGTTGTTATTTCTCTTCCTGCCTGCATTGGGCCGTGGCAAGGCCGGAACGAATACAAAGGGGACGCATCCCGACCACATGATGAACCCTCGTCTCTCGCTTTCCCTCTCTTCTATTACACACAAAACAATTAAGTTTACTAACTGATTGGGGCTACCGATTGGTCTTTTTGCCGTTACACTTTACAAAGCCAGCTCCTGAACAGCATCTGGCGGCTATCCTGAGCCAACCACTGACACACGAGAGGGCTATCCTGAGCCATCTTCCTGAACTACATCTCTCTTCCTGATCTCACAGGCTATCCTGAGCCTTTATCAATTCCTGCCTTTCTTTTCCTTCTCCAAAAGAAAATCTCCTGACGGCTATCCTGAGCCATTTTTGTCTGTTCTACTATCAGCAGCAGAAATACAAGACTAATCAAACATGTCGTATCTCGCACCAAGTAAGAGGGCCGCTCGTGCTTCCTCTAAGCTGCTTCGGTCGGCGAGCCGGGCCGCGGCTGGTGCTAGCAACAGTCTCGCAGGACAGCAGCGCGTGAACAGGATCCACGCCTCTACCAAGGACAAGGCCGTCTATGCCACGACTCAGCCTGCTGGACTCGGCGCCGGTCTTCCCGAGTTCATGACGGCTGGCATGGCTCCCAGACCGAAACCCACGACCGCCGCCCCGACGTCGACACTCCCCCGTGTGCCCGCTGGCCAGCTCAACGTCCTCGAGGAGTCCCGCAAGCCCGAGTTCTACCAGGCCATCTCCAAGGTCATGGCCATCCGCAAGGACTACGTCGAGAAGCGCTTCGTCTGGGTCCCGGCAGAGGAGATGATTGACATTTGCCTGGGATTGGGCGCCACGCGCGAGGATCTCGAGGCTCTGCCCCAGACTGCGGACGGACTCCAATATGACCCTACCCTCCCCTTCCGCAAGACCCGCAACGGTCGCTTCTGCTTTGACTACGACACCCAGAGCGTCCGCCGCCTCGAGTTCCAGCCCTTTGCGCTGTCGGCCGAGGAGGACTTTAAGCGGTACGACTCGGGCCAGATCCGGCGCTTTGACGAGATTGACGATGAGCTGCAGCTCAACACGGTCCTGCAGGCTCTCCTCGTGTTCAAGGGCATGGTCGTCCATGGGGTTGAGATGGCGCGCCGTCCCAAGCTGGACTACGACGTCAACAAGAACATCCTGACGCTCTTCCACCTCCGGACCACGACCAACCAGGAGATTCTGGGCGAGCCTGCGCTCGAGGGCATCCATTCGGATGGCGTCGACCACACGATGACGACCCTTCTCGGCCACAGGAACATGCGCTCCGACTCGGCTGTCACCTTTATGCACGCCATGCACGAGCAGACGGGCATCCCGCTCAACGACGCCAAGCCGGAGAACATTCGCGCGCGCGTCCAGCACACCAAGCTGCTCGACACGCTCATGATCCTCGACCACGAGAACAAGCACTCGCTCAGCCCCGTGTACCAGGAGGACCTGACTCAGGACGCCACCCGGGACATGCTCGTCTTCTTCACCCGCAAGCCGGTCGACGAGGGTCATATCTCGAGCAAGATTGACTCCAAGATACCACACAAGGTGAAGAAGATGGAGATTCCCCTTTTCCTGCCGAGGACCCAATGAGCTGGACTTTTGATGGCGTGGCTGTGTATTGACATTTGGCGTTTTGTTTGGGCATTGCTTTCTTTTTTACTTTTTCTCCCAGTAGAAAAAAAAAGTTGACTTTTGGTTTGGCAATGTATATATCTGTTGTTGCTTTCTTGGTACTTGGCGGAGATGACAACTAGCAACACCCCCCAACTGATTTCACTCTCTGCTGGACAGAGACATTCATGATGAACGACCTTTTGAATACACAGTTCTTGAATCATCTGCCAACGCTTTTCACCATGTTGAACCGCATGAGAAGGGTGTTCAGACTCAAACTCCAAACTCGTAGCCTTCACGTTCAAAGTCCAGGGCAGTTTGACGTCTGGCCAATCATCTCACACGGCTGCAGGTAGCTGGCGGCCCGCGGGAGGGCTCCAGCGGTTGGTGCACTAGCTCTAGTGCTTCGCTGGCTGCGCCACGTCGTCACTGGGCATTTGTGACCTGCGTCCTCTCCGTCCGTTCATGGGCGATCTTGGACTTGCATATCCCCACTCCCATCCTTCAAACAAGGTGGGTTGTCTGAGATACGAGGGAGGGGGCCAGCTGCAGGATTGGGTGGCAATCCCAAAATGTGGTGTGCACGGCACTTGGACGCTAGAGAGGTGTGTACGCGAGAGGGACTTCTGGACGTCAGCCTCTGCGTTTCTACGATAGGGTTTCAGGTACGCGAGATCCAAGAGTTCATGTTGCCAACCGTCAGCCTTACCGTACCTTACCGAGATAGTCATGGGGCCACTGGGTGCCAGCTTGTCCCCCCTTTCTCGAAGGATTTGGCCAGTCGTCCACTCGACGCTCGAAGGATGCGTCTCGCATGGCCTGCGCCTCGGGCCACTCTGCTCGGTGGCGACCGGATCCCGATGTTGTGCATGGATTGCGTGCTGCGAGCCTGGTCGGCGAGCAAAAGATGAATTGACCATGGTGATTACAGATGCAAATTTTTATCTGACTTTAATTTGTGAGCTGTTATGTAGGTGTATTTTGTTATGTACAGTATTTCCAGGCATGCAGTTTTGGATCAACAGGGCCGTCTCCCATCCTTTTTCTCCCCCTCACAACGAGTCCACGTAGTCGGCCATGTCCTTCATGGTCTTAAACTGCCACTCAAAGCCCAGCGCACCGGCGGGGTACTGATCAGGCTGCCCACCGCCGCAGGCCGCGGGCACGTCGACGCCCCTCTCGATCCAGCAGCTGGCGAGCCCCGCCTTGTGGGCGGGCACTAGATCGTGCGGCAGCGCGTAGGCCGTGTGGATGATCTTGTCCTTGGGAACGCCCAGGTCCTTGTCGCAGTGCTCGATGAGGTACTCAAAGTTGCGCGGGTTCGGCTTGTAGGTGCCAATGTCCTGCGCCGTGTAGATGGCGTCGAACTGGATCTTGGGCAGCTGGTTGGTGAGGGCGCGGCCAAAGGAGGCCTTGTCGACGTTGGAGAGGATGACGAGCTTAAAGTGCTTCTGCAGGCGCTGGAGGGCCTCCTGGGTGTCCGGGAAGACGGGCCAGTCGCCCACCGCGTTGCCAAAGGCGGCGGCCTCGTCGTCCTTGGACTCGACGCCGAGTTCCTTGGCGATGGCGCGGTACGTGTTGGCCAGGATGTCCGGGTAGAGGCCCTCGGGGTCGGCGCGCTGGACGATGCCCTCGTTCTTGATGAAGAGCTTGAGGAAGCCCATGCGGTCGTTGTAGTGTGGGTGCGACTCGGGCAGGCGGTTCTGCAGCGGAAGCAGCATGTTGTAGATGCCCGTCTCCCAGTCGACGAGCGTGCCGAAGCAGTCGAACGTCAGGGCGCCATAGTCGGTGATGGGGCGAGAGGGCATGATGGCGGCGGCAGCAGCAGATGGAGGATTGATCACTGATGAGGCTCAATCAAACTGAGCGAGAGTACGCAGAGTATGGTTTAAGTATTCAAGACTGAAGTGGATGGTTTCATTTTCCTGGCTCAATGTCCCCCGCTCTCACGTAAGAGTCACCAGCGCGTCTCATGTGATAAGAGCAGCCTGGCAGTCTTGGCTGCACTCACTCGCCGCGGAGAATGACGGGAACGGTGACGTGAAGTCTGAAGAGACACTAATCCTTTGACAGATCAAAGCTTTGGAGCATTGTCTAAGGCCTAGAGCAAGAATCATTGCTCCAAATGCGCGGACAACTACAAATGCCCCCGCGGCAGCAAATCCGTTAATCGACCCCGCCGAGATCGTACTTTCCCGAAGAAATTGTTAGGCACACGCCGTTTACCCTGCGGGATTCGTAGGAGCATGTATAGGGTAGCTCAGCGTCCACAGATGCACCTAGTTGAAGTGATTTGATAGATATCTTGTATACTTGCAAAGATATATACAAAGCATGAGGAAAGAATAAGCGCAAGGCGCTTCATTCATTGCCTTTCTCTAGCTATTGACTCGACTTGTACAGCATTTCGAGCAGCTCGACGCCCTGTCGTATTCTATCCGTGACAATTTCCAGCTACTCCCAGTCAGCAGTTGTGAATGAAGCAACGCAGGGTACTGTGGTGAAGACTCGCCTTTTTCTCATCAAGCTGGTCGAAAATGTCGAAATGCGCTGATTCAATGTCATATGTAGCCTTGATGAAGTCGGGATACCGCCCTCCCCAGCCAAGCAACTCGTCGTCGCGGAAAATGTCGATGGTGCACTCCTCTGTCTGCCCCGACTTGGTCTCCGACCGCCGCAGGCCGCGTAGCAACACGCCAGGTGGCGCCGGTGCGAGGGGCTTCGCAGAGGATTCAAGGAATTCGTACTTTTGCCCTTGCTTCACCTTCGGCTCGCCCTCGACGGGCGTGTGCAGGTACTGGCCTGGCTGCAGCTCAGGCTCACCGGGCAGTCCACGCAGTCGGACAGGTTTCCCGCCATGGGCAGGGCCAGAGAAGGTGGGCACTCTCCAGTGCTCGAGATAAATTTCGCAGTTCTGGAGGGACTTTTGGATCAGCTTGGGCAGGTTGCTCATGTCCGGGTCGCGCACGCCCGTTTCGGCGTTGGGCACGTGGTACGGGGTGTCGATGAGGACGGTGCCTGCGACGGAAAAGGGAGCCGTCGGGTCGTCCGCGAGGAGATGCGCAATGGTCATGGAAAGCAGGCCGCCCAGCGACCAGCCGCCGAGGAGGATCTTGCCCCGGATGCCGGCGTTGTGCATCAGCACAATGTAGTGCCTGGCCATCTCGTCCATGCCGCCGGGCCACGTCTTGCCTTGCCAGTAGTTGGGGTCGTGGATCGCCCACACGTCGCGCTCCAGCTCGCCCAGGAGGAAGTAGGCGAACGATGTGCCGCCCCCATCGTGGATGAGGACGAGTGGCAGGTTTGTCGTGCCTGGCGCACTCTGTGGCTTGGACGGGTTGGGGCCACCAGGAAACATGGTGTCTGCGTATGTCAAAAGGGCTTTCACTGGTGGGTTGGTCGGCTTGCGTTATTACGGGCGAACCTCCCCCCTTTCTAAATACCGCGTAGAGTTTGGCGCCGAGAAACGTGGTCACTTACGGACTAGCTTTACCTGTCCTAGCGTAGCGGCCGTGCTAGCGTATCAATGCTATGTTTTAACTGGTCAATCGTGCACGGATGATAAAAGAAGTCAGCCGCCTGGGTACCACACTTGGCCAGCATCTTGCAGCTAAACAGTTAGCGATATCACGCCCTAGCCACGTATCGTAGAAATAAGTGTACTACGGGGCGTCTTAGCTAACGTTTGAAACAAAATACTATACATAATTATGATAATCGACACTTTGTGCAGTTGTCGTCCAACGACACAGGCGAGAAGCTGCTGCGCGCAAGACACTGATGACAACGTGGCTGCAGGGGTTTGGAGTAGTTCATGGAGTTTTTTGACTCCTAAAACGGCTGCGCTTAAGGGCGTATCTTGGCTCGGCCCTTGGCCTTGGTGTTGGCCGCACAGCTGCGGACTGGGACTGGGAGAACTTGTCGATTGGGATTTGGGAGTCTGGGTGGTGGCGTTGAACGAAGCGTGTCGTTTCAGATGATCTGAAATATAAATTTTGCCACTCGCTCAGATTTCCTTTGACACTGGGGAGGTGAAGCTCGATGGGTAATTGCCTAAGCTGGCGTCGCATTCTGTGATATCGGTGTGTTCCGTCTAGCTAAATGCGAAATGAAGGTTACGGGCTGAACCCGTTCCCTCGGGCGATTATGACAAGCCGATGTCTCAACAGCGAGGGCTCAATAAAGGAGGGACGGGGGTTTGAATCAGGTACGGAATAATAAACGTACAGCTGGCGTCAATAGTTTACTCCAAGACACGGGTACCATCGCCAAGATTTTGCTAGTCTCAGGGATCTCATACTGCCAAGAGTCATAGACGACGACATGTGAGCGTGAACCAATTTGTTACTGTCATCCATTAGGGGTATCAATTCGCAATACGACCACGCTAAATAGAACGCTGCATTTGAATCATCGCTTTGACTTTGGATCACCAGCTTCTCCGCTGTCGACATCACCGCCTTTCGGACATGACGTCTCCGCTCCAGTATTGGTCTCAGATGACCCCCTTCACCGCCCCCAAAAGTGGATGCTCGTGACGGGAGTGTCTCTTGCTCTTGAAAAGACTAAGCTGGTCAAAGCGCCAGCAATATAGTAGGGGTGTTCCGTCACAAGCCGCCGCTGACCACCACCCTAGACGTTTCGCAGCGCGGACGGTGCGGTAGGTACGCGAGAGCAGGTACACAGGTATCAACGTCGGTTTCTGCGTAGCCGTCGGGCTGATGGTAGTGACGGCGCGTGAAGCTGCCACTGCGCCCGGTACCGCCCTCACCTGGTCGGTGATGGTGCTGACAGGCTGCATGTCCGAGGTACCATTGCGCTTCAGCTGAGCGCAGCATGGTCTCATCGACGGCAGGCAGCGTCGGCAATTATCTATTCTTTTTCTCCATCTTTTGCCATCTCACTCACAGACATGTGCCGACAAGTCGGAGGAGCTGCTCATTGGAGATACGCCCGGCAAAGTTTAGGAGCAGCGTCGTGGCCAGCGCCGTGTTGGAGCGGTCACTCTGCCACGCGTGCCGTGTGTCCGCCGCCAGGGCCATGGTCACGGCCCACGCGTTGGGCAGCTGCTCCTGCACCGTACGCTTCATTTCCACCTTGGCCCCGGCCGCCTTGGTGGCGTCGCCCAGGTCCTGCGCCTCGACGAGCTGCGCGACCTTGCTGCCGAGCGACTGCCGGGCGTCGCAGCCCTCGCTCGTGAGCATGCCCTCGGCGGTGCGGAGAATCGCGTCTTGGAACCCCTTACGCTCCCACTCGGACCACGAGCCGGACGCGGCCGCGTGGACGTCTGAGATGACCTGCGGCAGGCGTCTGTTCCGCGAGAGACGCTGCTCGTCGGCCAACGCTGACGTGGGGCTGAAGCTCTGCGTGTAGTAGGCTGTCACCATGGCGTCAAAGTTCTCAAAGCCCGCTGCTTCCACTTGCTCCATGATGCACTCGAAGCGCTCGTCGAGGGAGACGTTCGGGGCTGGCCGACGCGTCCTCACGTCGGATCCTGGGACGGTAGCCGTGGCGGTCGCGGTTGGTAGAGCCATGTTTGCCCCAATGGATGACCCTGTGGATGGCAAGGAGTGGAATATTGCGCTATCGGGCGAGTGCAGCTTGATGCCTTCGTTCTTCCACATCTCTGCTGCTGAATGGAAAGGGGCACTGACATTAGCCACGGCAGTGTCAAATCCCATCGTCGCATCCGTATCTGCAAAGGTGTTTAGGGCGTTGGCCTGGTCTTGCTGGGCCGCAGGGTTGGACATGGAGGCTTGTGACTGCTGCTGTTGCGGGAATGTAGTGAAGCCAGTCTCGTGCTGCAGATTCTGCAAGCGGCTCATGAGCTGGGACTGGAACCGTAGACAATCCACCATAAAGTTCTTTGATTGCTTTTCCTGTCTCGGATCCTGCAGGGGGGCGGCGGCCTGGGCCGCATTGGCGCTGCTAGCACTGGCATTGGCAGCGGGGTCGGCGTTGGTTGGAGGCGAGAGGAGCCCATGTGTGGTTGAGGAGCGATGTGATGGCGTTGGGCTGGACATGATCATGGTGTGCGGTCCGGCCACGCGCGGGAACAGGGAGTTCTCAGGGTCCTCCACGGGCTGCTCGTACAGGTTCGGCTGCGGTTGCTGGTGAGCGAGGAATTGGGGCGGCAGCGCGTGGTGCGGGATCTGATCAATGCCGGCGTCCGCCAGCGTCCCCACGGCGGTAGGCGACACGGAACCCTCGTTGGCGAGAGCAGGCGTTGGTATCGCGATCGCTGGCGTGTCGACGGCATCGACGCTTTGCGATCGACGCCCTTCGTGGCTCTCGAGGCGGGCTTGGAGTTCGCCCAGACGCGCCTTCATGCGGTGGCCTGCTCGTGCCCCAAGTCAAGTCAGCACGCACAGCTCAAGCTTCCAGCAACATATGTAGACTACTGTAAAGTAGCAGCCGGTCTGCACTCACGGTATGTTCGTTGCGCGACTCGATTCTGTATCCTCTTCTTCTCCTTTGGGTCCGTGACCTTTGTCCAGTCATCCTCTGACCGCAGCTCGCGTGTAGGGGGCAGTGCCGAGTTTGGCATGCTCGTGGCGGACGAGGACGAAGCTGACGACGAGGACACCAACGATGGCTTCTTGGGGGCGGGTGCCAGCGGCGAGGAGGATCTCTTGATCTTGGTCATTCCGGAGCTCCCTGTGGAAGTCGTGTTAGGCGTCCATAGTTCAGTCGTGAATGGCATGTTGAAGGACGACGGCGACGCGGGGAGGAAGGGAAGGGTAAGTAGTGCCCAAGAAGAGCACAGAGGGAATCAGAGTATCATTAAAGGGTTTAGTCTGGCCCGTCTCGTCTAAAAGCAGACGATGGATCACGGCCAATGTGAATTGTGCATGATGGGACGTCTGGACCTCGCCAGGATCGAGATCGACAAACCACACGGGACCGTTCGGACACGACGAGAGCCGCCAGGACAGCAGCGCAGGCTCGCAGCGCACCCTGCGAGCTATTCAGCAATGCGCGCAACCGACCTGACGAGGCAAGGCGAGGCAGTCAGGCAAGGCGGATCTGGGCCTGGCAGGCAGGGGAGGGGGCTATGGAAGCGACAGGGATGCAAGGGTCAGACTTGGAGTAGATGGGGTGTGAGGATAGAGGAGGATCCCCAACGTCTCCGCTGATTGACGCCGATCACCAGCCTGAGACCAGAGAAGGCACCGAACATTGAACGATGCGACAGATATCCACATGCAGGAATCGTGGATGGCCGTAGATCTACATCGCGTTGAACTCGGCGTGAGTGCTATTCATTGGCTAACTCCTCGTGAGTCGCCACACCCTCATGTCGACCACGTTTCGTGTGGGCCAGCCATGCAACGACTCGAGGCTTCTGGGTGGCCAAATTCCAATTCAAGCTTGAACATACCTGGTAGTGAAGTTCTTGTCTTGGGAATGGCTGAAGGTCTGATGAAAGAAAGCGAGTTGGTTCGAGTTCAAGTTTCCATTTACATGTTTGTGGAAGCGTAGTTGTAGTTGATTACATGCTCGATCAATCCAAAATGTCCAGCTACAGACCCGCCAACCCAGCCATGTCAAAGCGACACAGATAGCGTCAGCGACATTTCCTAGCCTTCACCAAAATCTGTCCTTTGGAACAGGCGGCATACGGTTGTATTGATGGCTTCGTGTTGAATGCACGTCCTCGGAAAGTGCATGCCTGGTGATTGGCACGGCCCGGCCGCATCAGCATGCTCTGAGTCTGGCGGGACTTGCAAGGCTCAGACCACATGCAAGCAACAAGTTCATCCAACACTGACAACAACACCACATGTGACGTCTCCACTGATGCACGTTTTTCTGAGCTAGCGGGATCCCACACCAGACGAATGTCGATTTTCGTATGATTGTCGGCTCACCAGCTCTCGATCATGCACATGGTCTCGTATTGCGTGAGGCACAACTCGCTCTGTGGCAAAATGTACTGTCCAGTCCTCAAAATCATGCATATACTACGAGATCATATCAACTGTTGGACAATATTTACGGATCTCGTAGTGTATGCATGCAGGTCTGGACGGTACATTTTTCCCAGGTATGGAGATGCACCCTGCTAGCGCTGGGAACTTGTCTCGATCCTGTCGAGTTAGACTCGAGGAAGGGGACAACGATTCTCAGTAGGGCTTAAGGAAGAAGAGTGTATGAATGCGAGCTGGGGTTGGCAGACCATAGACGGCAGTAGTAAACTACCTGAGAAGCACAACACAGCCCGCGCCTTGGAGCCTCTCGTTCATGAGCCGAACTGCCAGAAAGCCTATGTTCAATGCCAAAACCTTAAAGCGGTATGCAGCACGGTACTTCAGCTACTGCATTGGGAGATGAGGCAACTACCAGAGTGCAGCCACC